GATTGGTGTCAGAGAAAGTCTCTCTCTTACTTTGGTGGTAGTTGCATACGATGCAGTGATATTTAAGCCCATTAAACTATGCAAATGCAAAGGTTGTTTTGAAATTCTTGTCATAAAAAAATCCTATTTTAATCCAGTGGGAGCAAGAAATTCTGAACCATAAATGCTCTTCTGGGAAAAGTAAGTATGTCCCTCAATTTTTACTCTGATGAAGGGCTGGCTGACATTTGAAACATCAACTTTAAAAACTCTTTATGGTGGCCAATTTACAACTTCACCTCAGCTAATAAAACCAAATTATCTTGTAGTATCCCTCAGCAACATAGCACCACAATTTCTTTTAAAACTTCTTCCCTCCATTCACTTTTCATAAAAATAGTCTATAACATAATCGTCAACCTTGCAAGCACACTTTTATGCATCTCCATGGCATGCGTGTTGATGAATGGTGCAGAAATGGACAAAGTCAAAGGCATTGAATCCAAAAATTACATTCTTTAATAATGGTGACAATTAAGATTAAAATAAAATGATAAATGCAACAACTTGTTCACAATTTAATATATTACAGGTTTTCTTAAAATTAAGATAATTTGTCCCATCTTTATGGACCAGCATCGAGCTGTTGCTTACTTAATAACCCTTTAACCCCTAAGACTGACTAACATCTAATTTCTCCATGACTCACACATTGAGGTCACAAAAATAAAGTCAGCAACTTAGGAAACAAGTAGAAAACAGTATGGAGATGGACACTGATATTAGAGTGTAAAGGGCTAATAATTTCAACCATCCCAGTAGTCCTATTCTAACCATCCAACAGCAGTTCATCCCACTGACAGACTTCAATCATCTTCTCATTCCCTTAGAAATATTTGGTGGTGTGCTTGAAAGAGTACCGTCAGCTCTGCAGATTAGCATTCTCCTCCCCAAAGGAAGCAAAAAAAATTAAGCTGTAGATTCCACAGAACTTGTTAACTTTCTTCTCTTCCCATAGCCTTTAATGTACAATTGTGGACACAGATCTTATAACACATTGGTACAATCAAATAAGTACTTTGAGCTATGCAGAATTTGTCAGTAAATTTTTTTATTCATCCATTTGTAAACACTTAATTTCTGCTCATCAATTGTGGCAAGATAGTCATTTCCATTGACACCAAAGGGAAGAACATCTAAGGTCTCTTTTCCTTGATTAGGTAGTTTCTGCAGCTGGTTTCCATTCTGCCATTCCATATCAAAGTCTAGGGGGGAAAAAAACCAGTAACAAACATTTTGCAGGCTAAGGTGGGGTTCATCCAAGTAACAAAACACAAAGGTAGATGTTTTTTCAATGATGGGTACATGTAGCTGCTTGGGAACGTGGTAATCAGAATAAGAAACCTATCGAGCAGCTGATATTTAACAACAAAGACCTTCCATTGTAAGAAGCTGTTGATACATGTGGGAAAGAGGGTTAATCTTAAGATCTTAAATGTGAAAGGGTTAAATTTATCATTCTTGGCTACCCCTGATGCCTTCAAGCTTCAAGTGCAACACTGCAGATACCATTCACTGCAAAGGAACATGATGAAACTGCAGCTATCTGCCAAAGCTTGAGGAAAACTCACCAATGATAGTAAACAACCTGGATTTGCTAAGAAGCTTTTTTGTTGGGCCACCAACACATTCATTGAGAGCTTAACAGGTACAGAGGCTGGCATCTGAAAACAGCATGATTGTATTATGCAAGAATTTGTAATTATTGCCAAGCCAAATATATGTACAGGGTCATTCAACCTGCACTGCTAGTTAGTTGTACCAGCATACAGTACAAAAGTACAGACAAAATTGAATGGCAGAGTATAAGAGGTTCAGTGAGCACTATTCCTCTTTTCATATCTGTACCCTCTCAATCCATTCCATCAACTCATCTGATTCCACACCAACAGCTGTAGCACTACTTAAAACCAAACTAAGTCAATTCTTTGTTTTTATTAGACACACTTCCCTGAATGCCCTTAAACAATGATGTTTATTATCAATAACTACCAGTACCAATAAGTATTCATGTTTCCCACACAGCCACAATGTACATATCATCCTCACCATCCTCCATATTCCCTGCTCTTTCTGCTTGAGCTCAGGCCATCGATACACCCACACCTTTACCTTGTAACTGACAAACCTATGTGTGTTGTACCATACAGTGTATATAAAATTAATAATAATTAATCCAATTCCAATTGTATACAGTTGTTAACTTAACCATTTAAACCCTAAGAATGACTAGTATCTAATTTCTCCCTACAATATCACTCCTGAATCACACATTAAGGTCATGAGAATAAAGGAAATGGTCACTAGAGAAGAAACCTTTCGATTGGCAAACAAATTCTCCTTGTCAGCACCTTAAAAAATGTATAAAGAACAGTGTGGAGAATATGTCTACTGATGTTAGGGTGTAACAGGTTGACCGAAATCCCAAAATCTCCTAGTGACTTCCTTATGAGAATCTGGTTTTATGTCAAGACACATGCAACACCATTCCACTGATAAATTTGTCTTTTGTCATCACCTTGCAGCTAAATTCATTGAAATTTTAAGATAAATCATACTGGTCACCTCTAAGAGGCAGAGGCTTTAAGATCAAGCTGATACATTTAAATTTTAATTTAGTAAAACTGATACATACAGCATAAATCAAATTATGTAATCCCTACTTCTACAAGTACATAACATTTAAACATTTAAATTTCTCAGCCAAAAAAATTTTGTTCTTCCCCTAACCAATTAGCTATTTAAGGGAAAACCCACATATCATTTGCTACAAGTAAATTAAATAATATAACTTTTGGGTTCAGTGCGCACATGCCCTTGGCTTTGTCTGTTCCTGCACCATTCAGCAACATACATGCCAAGGAGTAAGAGATGCATAATTGTATGCTAACAAGGCTGCCAATTATGTTTTAGACAATTTAACAGACAAACAAACGAAGGGGGTGAGTTTCTACAGAGGTGCTACATCATTGGGG